ATTTCAGCCAGAAGTTTCTTCCAGGTCTCCCACATGGGCACAGAGGCTCAAACACTCGGGCCATCTTCTGTCACCTTCCCAGGCACAATTACAGGGAACTAGATTGGGAGTGAAGCAGCAGGGACTTAAATTGGCATATAGTCAGTGTTTTTCTTATGTCCTAGAAGATCTCTTTGGAAGGAAAGCCTTAGCCTGCCTGAGCTGCATTATTGCTGCACAGCACTCTAAAATACATGCACTTAGCAGAAATAGGGTTTTTATTGTCACATCACCTGACTGATATATGTAAAAAGAAATAACACAGTAAGAAGTTTGTGGCAAGGGGACCTGGCACCTAGTGACTAAAGTCCTTGCCTTGCACATGCCAGGATCCCAAATGGGTTTTGGTTCTAATTCCAGCGGCCCTGCTTCCCATCCAGCTTCCTGCTATGGCCTGGGAAAGCAGTTGAGAATGGCCCAAAGTCTTGGGACCCTGCCCCCACCTAGGAGACCTGGAAGAGGGCCTGGGCTCCTGGCTTCCATTGTGCCACTTGTGGAGTGAATCAACAGATGGAATATCATCCTCTCTGTCTCTCCTCCTCTCTGTATATCTGACTTTGCAATAAAAATAGAATAAAACTTAAAAAAAAAAAAAAGACTGTGGGGGTTAGTGTTTGGCACAGCAAGTTAAACCACCACTTCCAATACCATTACCACTTATCAGAGCACTGGTTTCTAATCCAGTTCCCTGTTAATGTGCTTGGGGAGTCAGAGGTTGATGGACTGTGTATTTGGGTTCTTGCTATCCATGTGGGAGACCAGATTGGAGTTCTTAGTGCCTAGCTTTAGCTGGGCCCAATCTTCATTTTTGTGGGCATTTGGGGAGTGAACCAGTGCATGGAATATCTTTTTCCTTCTCAAATAAATAAATGAATCCTAATAAAAGAAGACCTTATTCTTAGGGAGCTTATACTATTCAGATTCTTGCCCTATGTTGGGGGGAACATCCATTACAATAGTCCTGATGAAAGTCCATTGGCCAAGAATATTCCCTCCTTGCTCTGCCAGCTTTGATGCTGGCCTCTGATGTCCACCCTTAACCGGACACTCCCATGAGGACTTGAGTGGTCACTCTTTTTATATCTCTGTTTCCCATTCTGTAGTCATTTCTTATGGTAGTGAGAATATTCCGGAGGTAGTTAGGCTGTTCCTGTTAAGAAGTGGTGCTGTGTTTTCCGCCTTTTAATTCCCACAGTTGTCCTGATTCCTTTCTGCATTTCCTATGACATGAAATTTTGATGGTTCTGGGAGTCTTTTCCACTTAATATATCCAGAACTAGTTTCTTGTTGCAACCAAGAAGGCTGATTGAGATGGAGGATTTTGTAGTTTGAGGAGCACTGCACTAACTGCTACTACATACACTAGAGCATCTGGACCAGAAAAACAGATCTTCTGTGACAAAAATGTACCTTTTTCCTGCTATCTGGTAAGTAGATTGGCTTACAGCACACTTGGGTGGTGTTGAGGCTGCTTTAAATAAACAAATGAACAAACAACAGAGATATGTCACAGTAACTACCCTCTGTCTACCCCCTTCTGGTTCTAGAACTGCCTGGTGTTCTGGCAGGAAGACTAGGGTTTGCTGCCAGGAACTCACTCCCTCCCCCAACCCCAGCTCCCTGACAAGGCTGTGTGACTGCTCCAGCCAGTGAGTTTGCTGTACCAGGTATGAGCCACTTCTCTGGCTACTCCCTGACCCAGGGAAGCATGCACTGTTGGGAAGGGATGAGAGTGGGCTTGCTGAATAGGCAAAAGCAGGCACATCATTTAAGGCTGCCTTTAGGTAGGTTCAACCTCTTTGCTTTTTTTCTCATGCCTTCCCTGTCTTGTGATGCTCAGGTGCCCTTTCTCTGTTCCATTCTCTGGCCTTGCCCATTCCTGTTGCTGACCCTCTCTACACCTAAGTCTTCCCCAAACCCTGTTGGTTTGCTTTTCCTCTGCTGGATGCTCTTGAATTGGGGTGTATCCTCCTTACTGCCAGCTCTTCCATCACACCTCCTTCCCACCCGTTAATAGTCCTCTTAGTTTCCTGTCTTCTCAAGTCTCAAGTGCATGTCATTACTCCACAAGCTTTTTTTTTTTAAGATTTATTTTTATTGGAAAGGAAGATTTGCAGAGAAGGATAGAGAGAAAGTGGTTGCATCTGAAGCCAGGACGCAGGAACTTCTTCTGGGTCCCCCACACTGGTACAGGTCCCAAGGCTTTAGGCTGTCCTTGACTGCTTCCCCAGGCCACAAGCTGGAGCTGGATGAAACTGGAGCAGCCAGGACATGAACCAGTGCCCATATGGGATCCCAGCTCTTGCAAGGTGAGGACTTAGCTACTGGGCCATCGGGCCGGACCTGCCCCACAAGCTAGTAGGAAGTCAAGTTTGTTTTGTTTTTCAACATTTTGTGTCTAAACAGGAGGCACAGGGCATGCTTGACACATCTGACTATCAGATAAAAGAGAGAGAAAAAGAATAAACTCTCAGTCCTTTCTTGCTGTCTGACAGGTGACAGCCCTTGCTCTTATTTGAAGTGTTTCTCTTTTGCAATGGAAGTGCAAAATGGGAGGATCTTGGGTGAGGCAGTAGAGCAAATACCCATGAAACCACTGACACTGCAGTCTGCTTAGGGTGTGTTGTCTTACCCAAATCTGACTTCACAGCTAGTAGCTTCAGGTCTGCCAGTAAGCCCATGATCCCTTTCTGCCTGCATCCTTCTCATCTAACACTGAGCTTCTTTAACTAGGAGGGGAAGGGGGTGTGGGAGCTGAGAGGTGGGGTAACGCATTTTGGGTAGATGAGGATATTTTTATTTGCAAAATTCTGATGCAATTTACTGGCATGTACAGGGTGAGGGTGGAACCAGGAACACCAACCGTCTACACTGCATGCACAGTGTTAGGTCACAGCTGACTTAAGTTCTGCACAGTTCCTGGTGCCCCAACCCTTCCCTCCATATTCAAGGACACACACACACAAAAGCTTAGATTCTAGCACAGACCATTATGAAACATCAAGGATTTCTGCATGACTTTAATATACTGGAATTTACAGGAATGGATTGATTGAGAGAGGATTGTACTCTACTTTTTTTAGGCATCCTTACCACTTATTCACTGTTTCAGAAAGTAATGCCACAGAAGCAGTGCTGTAGGCGAAACTAAGTTGCCAATGAAAGTCCATACTCTCCTTTGTAGCTAGAGTGTTTCCAGCGATTCACCTAGAGGCAGTCAGTCCCTCTGAAAACAGAAAATGCTATTGAAAAATTTGAAAAAAAAAAAATCCCAAATCCAGGAAGCAAAGTAAGTTTTGTTTTGTTTTTAAATAGATACACTTTCAAAGAATTTTGGGGAGTTGAGGTTGGGGGAAGTATTGTAGTAATTGCACTTCTGGGGTTATTCAGCTTTAAGATTATTGTAAGATTTGGGAAGTCAGTATTCATTGTAAGAAGAGGCCACTGCCGGCAGATGATGGTTACAGGAAAAAATCCTGCATCCCATTATCTAAGTTTCTGGTTCAAGTCCCCGCTGTGCTTCTGATCCAGCTTCCTGCTAATACACACTCTTGGGGGTGGGGGTCAGTAGCTCTTGGTTCAAGTATGTGGGTCCTTGTCACCCGGATGGGACACTCGGACTGAGTTTTGGGCTCCTGACCTCCATCTGTTGCAGCCATTTGGGAGCGTGAACTTAATGAGAGATTTCTCTCTTTTCTCTTTCTCCGTGCCTGTCCTCTTTCAGAGACTCTACCTTTCAGAGAAAGTTTAAAAATGAAATAATTTCTTAACAATGGTCGCTGAATCTGATATCACTTGGCGACTCTTCACGGTCACCTGGAAAGAGCAGCCAATTGGAGCTGTCAAGAAAGCAGTATGCAACAGGTGTGGATGCTTGGGGCTGGCCACCAGCTGCCTCTGAGCCTTCCGACACGAGCCCCCTCGTTTCTGAAACGAGTGCCATCGCAGCTATTCATTTGAAATGGAGGTGAGAAGCTCAGGTCACCTTGGAGGAGCCCCCTGCCAGGCACGCTCTCGGCGGCGCTCCTCCTCCACCTTTGCTCACCCGGGTTGCACAACTCTGTTGGCACCCAGCGGGCGTCGGCGTCAGGTGGACTCAGGGGGACTCTGACTGGAACGGGCGAGCTCTGAGGGGGCAGTGCCCAAGCTGAGGGGCAGCGCCCGGGGCCCGCCGGACCTAAGTCCCTAGCTTTGATCTCCGTGCGCAATCAGAGCGCGGGCACAGCCTGCGTTTGGTCATGGGGCCCCAGCGGCCGTGGCGGGCGGAGCGGGCGGAGCAGCGGCTAGACCTTTCCGGACCTTTCCTTGCGCGGAACTTGGCTCTCCCCCGCCTCCGGACGGGCGGGCGGGGCCCTTGCCGAGGCCCTGAGCCCCAGCTGGGAGCGGCAGAGTTTGCCACGCCAACACTGTAGCCCGAGGCTCCACTCGCCCCCAGGGTAAGAGGCACTGAGGAAGGGATCAGGGCGGGGACGGAGAGCACCAGTGTGGAGGGTTCTTGGCTAAACTCTGCCTCAGAAGCTGGGACTCCGCCGGCCCGTAGCTGGTGCTTCATGCCACTTCACTTTTCCTTCCCCACGGCCTGGACACTTGCCGGGACCCCAAGTCTTGCTCCCGTTGTGCCCTGAGTGTCGGAGCTTCTGGGGGTGTTTAGAGACCACACAGCGAGCGGGGATGGGGGGGGGGTGGGGAGTGGGGGGGCGGGTACAAATCGATATTGGTGATCTTGTGTGGGATTCCTGGCAAGTTCCACCTACGTCATTAGCACCATCGCAAGGGAGCAAGGGTACTTAGCGCCTGAGGAGGAAGGTGGGATGGTGGTCGTCGTCGCCCCCCCTGCCCGCAGGGTGGCACATTTAGCTCCGGACACTGCGGGTGCCACAGAGGGGCGTCCAAGGGGATCAGCGGGCAGTGTTTTAGTGCACCTGGTGAATAAGAACTGGAAAGGGGAGTGGGGTCTGGGGAGGCAGAACAGGGGCTCCCGACCTTCCTCTTCAATTCTCTTAATCGTCGAGATCCTAAATCAGCTTCTTGTTTAGTCACTTTGCAAGAACCTCTGGATCCGTCTGTTGCTGCACAAGGTCCTAGCTCAGGGTTCTCACCAGGTTTTGTGCTTTTGGGGGGCAGTTCTGGGAGGAGTAAGAACATTCTCAGACCAGGACTTTTGGGGAGGGGTATAAAATAAAAGGCAGAGTACTGTAAAGGAAACCAAGAACAAAGCACTTGTCAAAATGTTAGAAGAGGAAGTGGGTGTTAGCTGCAGCCAGCTGTTAAGAATGCAGTTGGAGATCCCCCGCAGCCGCGCTGGGGTGTCTGGGTTCTCATCCAAGGCACTGCATTTCTGAGCCAGCTTTCTGTGACAGTCACCCGGGAGGCAGTTCAGGTGATTGGATCTTTTCCTCCTCCCTGGGTGTTCCTGGCTTTGGGCTTCCACTTGGTCCAACATTGGCTATTGTGGGCGTTTAGGTAGTAAACCAACTGATGGCAGATTTGTCTCTGTTTAAATTTTAAAATATTGAAAGAGTTTGTGATATAGTAAAATATGTGTCTTTAAAATGCATTATTAAATAATAGGGATCTAGCAAAAGATTTAGTAGCTATATAATTGTCAAGTGGCAAAGATTATAAATCATGTTTTTAGATGTAGGCCTCACTTGCAATGTAAAAAGGTACCTAATATTTCTGTTGGTGACAGAATCTTGGTACTGTTAGTACTGCTGTGGTTTGCTGCCTACATACATAACTGAGGAAATTGTTACATTTCAATGAGATGTTAGTGAAACCAAAGTTGGCAGATCTGGTTTCCATTCTGATTTTGTTCTAGGCCTTGTTATAAACCCTTGCCTTTTGTTGTCACACATTTCGTAGCTCCGATCAAGCTGAGGAATTAAACATGTGACCCCATTTGAAAGCCTGTTTGTGAACCTCCGTTTCTGTTCCTCCTCAGAGACTCACAAAGTTTTAGAGAAGGACTTTTGCAACTACCCAGCCCACTGGCCAGCCCCAGCCAACATGGGCTGTGGCTGTGAGTATGCTGCCTCCTGGTGCTGTACCCTCAGACAAAGCGTTATCACCAGAAGTGAGCAACTATGGCATCTGAATGTAGGAAAAACATGAGCCAGTGGGGAGGTGGCACACCCGATACTTTTGTCCATCCTCATTCTGTGTTACCCAATAAATGATTGCGTTTTGCATATCCCCTATCCTGTTCAAACAAAAGATGTATAATTTGTAAATATTTTTTTTTTAATTGTGTCATGAACTGGTACTCTGATTCCAGGGAATAATAGGCCTGGGTAACGGCCAGTCCCTGTGTCTGTTGCAGCTCTTCAGTCTCCTGGAATGTGAGATGCTCAGTGGGGAATCCCGACACTCCTGACACTGATGAGCACTTTGTGCATCATCTAGGAGACTGTTCACTCTACTTGAAGCCTCTCTCTCCAGTGCATCACGTTCTGCAGTTTACAGATAGGTCTAGACTATGCAGATGTTGAGAGGAAATCTGAAGTATTTTTGTACAGGCCAACTGTGGGTGCAGATGTTGAAGAGGTAGAGCTGAAGTGTGCTTATTTATATATCAGAACGTGAGAAGTCAAATTCACTCTATAAAGTTAGCAGAGAAAGCAAGGTTTTATATATATATGTATGTATGAAACCTATATGTATGTAAATACATATGTATATATACATATTTTTTCCCCTCTAGTCAAACCCTTCACCCAGTAAGTGAAAGAATTCAGTTGACTGACTTTCCTGTTCTTTTCCTGGAGCCTGAGTTCAAGAGTGTTCCTTACTTGAGTACAATTTTTTTTCCTCTCAGCAATTCTGCTGGCTTAGTGAAATTGCTAATCTTCCTATTGTTGCCTTCTCTGTAAAATATTGCAGTTATAGACTGGGAAAACTAATAGGAGGTTTCTCAGTAATAAAGGGAGCCACTGTTCTTTTTTGCAAAATCCTCATTAGTAACTTTTTTAAAGATTTATTTATTTTTTTATTGGAAAGGCAGAGATGCAGAGAGGATCTTCCGTATGCTGATTCACTTCCCAAGTGACTGCAATGGCCAGAGCTGAGCCGATTCGAGGCCAGGAGACAGGAACTTCTTTGGGGTCTCCAACGTAGGTGTAGGGTCACCCATATGGGATCCTGGTGCATTCAATGCAAGGACTTTAGCTGCTAGGCTACTGTGCCAGGCCATATTAATAACTCTTAAAAGAAAAGTCTGTAAGTTTTCCCTTAAAGTGGTGGGGAACTAAAGAGCTCCATTGTGGAGGCCTGCACTGAGGTGTGTCTGGTGATGCCAGCATCCAGCATGTGTTCTGCTTCTGTTCCAGCTCACTGCTAATACCTTCCTGGGGGTGGAAGTGAGCTGCCACCCCTGTGGGAGACCCTGAGGGAGTCTAGACTTCTGGCTTTGCCTGATGTAGCCATTTGGAGCATGAACCAGCAAATGGATCTCTCTGTAACTGTCATCTTCTGCTGCTTTCTCAGGCACGTTAATAGGGAACTGGATTGGAAGTGGAGCAAGCAGGTCTTGAATCAGTGCCCACACAGGAAGCCAGTATTGCAGGCTGCAATTTTCCCCATTACGTACACTGTTGGCCTCCACAAACTTTTTGAAGATCCCTCTTATGCATCAGTTTCAATTTTTTGTGAGCCAAATAAACTTAACTTTGAATTCCATTTTCCATGAGCTTTTTAAAGTGCTCATGTATGTTTTTTTCTGTTTCCTGGGTGATTCAGGCCTCATCCACTACCCAAGACATGGCTTTACTGCTTATTATTTACTGTTTTTTTTTTTTTCAGTTTTACTTATTTTTATTGGCAAGACAGATTTACAGAGAGAGAAAAGGAGACAGCAAGATCTGCCGTCTGCCTGTTCACTGCCCAAATAGCTGCACTAGCCAGAGCTGAGCTGATCCAAAGCGAGGAGCTGAGAATTTCTTCTGGGTCTCCCATGTGGGTGCAGGTTCTCAAGGCCTTGGAGGCCAACTTGCACTACTTTCTCAGGCCACAAGTAGGGACCTGAATGGGAAGGAAGTGGAGCAGCCAGGGCACAAACTGGCACTCATATGGGATCCCTATGCTTGCAAGGAGAGGATTAACCAATTGAGCCGTCATGCTGGGCCTCCCACAGCTTAATATTTAAACAAATGTTTGGATTTACCACAGTGTCAGAGCTGTCATTCCAGCATAACCCTGAAGGGCTGTGTAGAATTTGCTCTGTTTGCCTTATTAACAATATAAAACTCCAGTTCTTGAATACAGAGGCAGATGGTTCTGCTATTACACAAGAGGAGCTGAGCCAAGAGGAAGGACAAGGCCTGCATAATCCCTTGAATTTTCAAGAGGGGCAATTTCCTTCTCTCTTAGGCCTTTATTGCCTGTTGAGTAATCCAGTAGTATTGCCTGTATCCTGTCTTCCTTGTATCTACCTGAACAGTGGATGGAGTGTTATAATTCATAGTCTTCCTTCTTCCTTCTCACCTACAGCCCTTTGTCCCTCAAATTTCCTCAGCGTGCCTCCATTCCTTCATCTCTGTTCCCATTGGCTAGACCTAGCCCTCACGAGTGCCTGCATTTTCTGGAGCAGCTACTTAATGTGTCTTCATGTTTGTGGTCTTTCCTGTTATACCATAGGTAGGCTTTTCATCACTGCCTGACAGATAATAAACACTCATTTATTAATTGTATATGTTTACATTTTTAGTAAATATAACAGTTTATAAAAAAAAATGGAGAACTCAAGTGAATTGCTCAATACATCTTCCGAGCTTTGGCTAGAAGGTTTTTCTCAGACATGCTAAATTCAGTTTCATTAAAAACTTCCAAGGAACTTTCACACCATTTAGCAGAGCCCATGAACTCAAATACCAGGGTTGGACAGATAACTTTTTTTTTTCATTTGTTTGATAACATTTATTTACTTATTTATTTTATTATTATTATTTTTTTAAAGATTTATTTTTATTATTTTTTTATTGGAAAGGCGGATATACAGAGAGGAAGATCTTCCGTCCGATGATTCACTCCCCAAGTGAGCGCAACGGCCGATGCTATGCCGATCCGAAGCCAGGAGCCTCTTCCGGGTCTCCCACGCGGGTGCAGGGTCCCAAGGCTTTGGGCCGTCCTCGACTGCTTTCCCGGGCCACAGGCAGGGAGCTGGAAGGGAAGCGGGGCTGCTGGGATAGAACCGGCACCCATATGGGATCCCGGGCGTGCAAGGCAAGGTCCTTAACCACTTGCGCCACCGTGCCGGGCCCTTTTATTATTATTTTAAAATTATTGTTAAAGGGGGTATTAAGGGAGAAGGCCCACCCAATTTCCCACCCTCCCCAGGTCCCGGATGTAGGGAAAAGCTCTGAGGCTTTTCCTCAAGTGGTTTTGATATTTCAACAGTTATGAATTGCTGCCAATCTTGCCACTCCAAGCACTATGAGGTCCTTGAAGAATCCACTTATTGACATAGTCCATCATAGAGTCTCCTGTCTGCCCCGCATTTCGCTACCAACATATAGCTGAGGTGGTTGGTTGACCTGTTCTGTCTTCTGTCTTTTCTTGGTTAGGGTTCTGAGTCCAGCATTTTGACTGGGGAGATTTCCAAAGAAACTTTGTCTGAGGTGTTCTCAAACCAGATTCTTGTATGTGCTAGCAAGTACATGCCCCCATCAGCTGGTGGTTGCAATTGCTGGGTTGGTTCTGTTTTTCACTCCCGACTTCCACTGGAACCAATGGGTGTTGCAGTCCAGCCTGGTTCTGCCCAGCACACACTTGGCCCTCACACAAACCAGTGGGAGCTTCAGCCTAGTTGGAGCGACCTGCAATAACCCCCACCAGGCCTGCCCCCTACCCTGGTTTGCCAGTATGTGTAGCAGACTAGTCCAGTCTGTCCCATACCCCATTCCACCCCAGCCACTTTCCTAGTTTTATACCCTCCCGTGGAAGTGATAACCCAAGAGGGAGGAGCCCACTATTTCCCTCCCAGGCCTCTCCCACTCCCAGATTATGCACTCTCCAGATAGTTCGGTGGTTTGACTTGACAGAACTAGCCCCCAGTGCCAGCTTCTGCCAGCTGATGCTGTGGCTAAGCCCAAACAACCCTCACCCACTCTAATTTTGTTTGCATCAGTAGGAATAATCAGCCCAGCCTGGCTTTTCCCTGATCTAGTCCAAATGAGGCCCACAGGTGTTGTAGCCTTGCCTAGTCTGGTCTGCCCCATTATAGCCCATGCTCTCCCAAGGGAGTAGCTGTCCAGCAAAGGAACCCTCCCTTATTCCCCTGCCAGCTCTGCCCCCTCCCTTCCTTGTTCTCACGCTTGCTGGTTGGGCACTGTGGTCCCTTCCGGTACAGGTAGCCTCACCTTGGCATTCCGTATTGTGCACCACCAGTTTTTGTTGCAACCAAACCTGGCTCGACCCACACTGTTCTGGTGCTGGGATTTGCCAGTGGATGATGTGAATTGGTTCAGCCTGGTCTGCCCCCGACCCATGCCAAATGTATGCCAGTGGGAAACTTTCCATGGCATGTTCTGGGCTGTTTCCTATCATGTTTTTTGCGCTTACCTGCAGGGTCTGTGTCTTGCCAGAGGAGTTGCCCAGGCTCCTCCATCAGAACATCTCCCAGTGCCAGGTTTCATGCTTACCAGTGGATCCATGAGCCAGCCCTACTCAGTTCACCTCCTGTCCTAGTAGGAACAGTGGCCTTTCCTGACTGGCCTTCAATCCAAACCGGTCCTTGCTGTTGGATGTTTCAGCCCAGCCATGGTTTGAATAGATAACTTAAATGAGTCACAGAGGCTGGATGGGGTTGGGGTGAACTGGAATCTTGTGTGGAAGGGAAGTGGTCAGTGACGACCCAGCTCCAGGCAAGCATCTCCTTGTGAGAATGTGGATTTGATGCTAGAGAGGCCAACACACTGGATTTTTTTGTGTGTGATATCCATGTTTGTTTTGAACTTTAATGTTTTTGAGAGGAAGAGAGAGAGAAAGGTAGCTGCTACTTACTCTTTACACCCCCTCCCCCGAAAGGACAACATTTGCTGTGGGGCTGAAGCCAAGATGGATTCCATCCAGGGTTCTCAGGTGGGAGCCATTCCTGCTGTATCCTGGGTCCATACTAGCAGGAAAATGGAGTCGAGTTGGGGCTGAGAATTGAACCCAGGGACTGTGATATGGATGCAGACGCCTTCCAACATTTTACTGTTGAGCCGATCTGAAGCCAGGAGCCAGGAACTTCTGTCAGGTCTCTCAGGTTGGTGCAGGGTCCCAAGGCTTTGGACCATCCTCTACTGTTCTCCCAGGCCACAAGAAGGGAGCTGCATGGGAAGTGTTGTAGCTGGGGCATGAACCATCACCCATATGGGATCCCAGTGCTTGAAGGGGGAGGATTAGCCAACTAAGCCATTGCGCCAAGCCCAACTAATTTAAACTTTAGAAAACACTGAATCATCTTGAGTCTGCATTTGGTCTACAGAT